ATTACGTATCTTGATTAGCTGAGTACGGATGGGAAGGCAAACGGAAGTTAACGGCAGTAGTTAATCACATGTTTGTTTGTTTGTTTGTTTGTTTGTTTGTTTGTTTACTGTATATGATGATGCTAACATGTATCATAGGAACCAGGAAAATGTATTTAATTACCAAAATGTTGCGTGTTGGATTAGTTACCTGAGATTTTTTTGGAGTATTGATGATGCTAGTTTTGGCGTATTGATGATGCTAGTTTTGGCAGGTTCTTGAACTGGGAAAGAAAATATACCCCCAAGATTCTAGAGAAAATTCTAGTCTAAATTCTGAGTTTGGAAGTAGACATGGAGGCTAAGGAATTGTCAGTTAAAAATATTGTGAATTTCTTTGAAGAGTCAGAAACATTGTTTTCGTTAATGTCTATATATAAAGAGTCAGAATATAACAATTCTGTTTCTGTGTCACAATCAGGATTTGCCAAACTCACATTATTCCTATGTTTGATTGTTATTTATAATATTGTTTTTTCTTTTATCAATTATTTAATTAATTTAATGATAAAAATTAAAAAATTTTAAAAAAACAACGTTTCACGTGATATATAAATAGAGTAAATTAAAAAACCCAAAAATGAATACTCTACAATTAAGATCAAAAAATAATATTGTTTCTTCTTATGATTTGGGCCATTCAATTGCGTGCCAAATTGGACCCATTAAATATGAGTTTTTATCTTATGTGATGCATAATCTGTCAATTTCTGTAGGTCCTCTTCAACTGACCATATCTAAGTCCCAAACGATATGATGATTAATTTATTATCATTACCTTTGTTTTAATTTCATACGAGTCAGATATTCTTAATTTGAGTATTTAGAAAAAGTTAAATCTACTAATAAATGAATATTATTTTATAAGTTAAATTTAAAATTTAAATTTTAATATTAACATTTAAATAAATAAATTTTTTTAAATGCATTAGGTTAATATAGAGGGTCCGCTCTTAAAATAACCAAGAAATGATTAATTTTAAGGTCTGTAAAAATTTATGGAAATTAAGGTTTGTGAAGGATTGGAAAATTTAAGGGGTTGGTTGCTTAGAATTACTTAGAAAATTCAATTGAGAGTATAAGAGAGTTCCTTTGTGATGAAAAGTCATAATGACCTCTGTAATTCACTGGGGGGGATTCAGTATCTTATACTTGTGAAAAACAATCACTTGGGGTAATGATATGATGATGTGTGATGTGGTGTGGCGGAAACTTCATATTTTAAAGTTTTTATGTACACCCATTTCAACACCTCAAAATACAAGCAAATGGGAGATGACCACAAATTCTAAAATTGTTTGGCGTTGGCATGACACGAAAGTAATATGAAACTTTAGTTTGAGAGTGTTGATTTATAGTTATAGCATTGATTTTTTAATTTTTTAATATCTTAAAA